GAGAAAATCTGTAGGCCTACTCTGATTGGACTTTATTATGATGTTCTGATTGGATGAGAGCCAGTATTAGAACAACCAATCAGAGCATGAAAATAAAGTCCAATCAGAGTAGGCCTAGAGGTTTTTCTCTCATCCAATCAGAACATGTAGTCCAGGAACCTCCCCCCCCCCCAGCCCCCATTGCCTAACCTCAGTATATAAAGCATGCTGCAGTATGCAGTCAGGTCACGACAGAATATTCTCCCTGTGTTTGCCCAGCCGTTCAGTGCTGGGTGAGGAAGGCACACGCTGGAGGCTGGTGACCGGAGGCTGGAGCCCGCGGTATGGTGGTGCTCATCTGGCTTCGCCTAGCTGTGGTAGGTGGTGGTGACCGAGACCGCAGGGCCTTGGAGTGGTAGGAGGGCCACCGGCGGTGGGAGCTGCTCCTGTCCGGCTAGAGGACGAGATGGGAGAGTTAAGTGCCATGCGTTGGAGGCTGGAGCCTGTGACATCGCACCTCTCCTCGCCTCGGTTGGTGGCGGCCACAGAGACAGCAGCAGCAGCTGAAGTGGTAGGAGGGAAAAAAATAGTTTTGGGGTAGGTGGAAGGGTGAAGAGGGTGGTGAGTGCCAAATGGAAAAAAGGATGGCGAGCAGGAGAAGGCGTTGCAGACAGAGGGTGGGGAAAAGATGGTGGGAAAATAAATTTTGGGTAGATGGGGAAAAGAGGGTGGTGAGCAGCAGGAGTGGGAAGAAGGCTTTGGGAAAAACGAGAGGAAATGGTTTTGGGTAGATGGAGGAGCAAAACGGGGATGAGAGCGCTGGTGGGGAAAAGGGTGGTGAGCGGGGGAGTAGAGAGGGCTTTGCAAAGGGATGGTGTGGGAAAAATGGTGGGGAAAATGTTTTGGGGGGTAGATGGAGAAAGAAAAAAGGGTGACGAGAGGGAGGGGGCCGAAGGCAGTTGGGAAAAGAAGTTGGGGAAATAATGATGGCGGAGACAAAGGTTTTGGGTAGATCTTTTTCTGATTTTTAAGTTAGATTACTTGTATTTTTGCCTTTGAGAAGTCTTTCTATATTTTGTGTATTAACCGCTTGCCTGATGTATAGTTTGCAAATACTTTCTACCATTATCTGGATTGTTTCTTCATTCTACTGATTGCTGCTTCTGCTTTGCAGAAGCTTTTAAGTTTAATGTAATTACATTTGTCTGTTTTTGCTTTTGTTGCTTGTACTTTTGATGTCTATTTGAAAATTCCTTGTCCTAACCAATTTCATTAAGCATTTATCCTATGTTTTCTTCTCCGGTAGTGTCATAATTTCAGGTCCTACATTTAAATCTTTATTTTGAGTTGATTTTTGTTTATGATAGTTGTCTAGATTTATTCTACATGTGGGTGTTGGGTATTTCCTAGCACAGTTTATTGAAGAGATTGCCCTTCTGGAAGGTGTGTTCTTGATGCCTAGGTTAAAAATGAGTTGACTGTAAATGTGTGAATTTATTTCTGAGTTCTCTATTCTGTTTGATTTATGTCTGTCATTTTTCTGTCTGTCTCTGTCTCTCCCCTGCCAGCGCTGTCCCTGGATGGAGTTAGTTCTCCATCCAGTTTTCCACATTTGTTACTACCACTGGTTCGAGGCCATTTTTCATTTATATTACCCGATCATTTTATTCATTGTCACATTTCTAACAGCATATGCTGTTTCCAAAGCATACCATGTGAACAGTTTAAAATTCTCAAACTATAATTCTTCATTGAAGCATTTGTAAGTTTCACACAAGCCCTTATATGATCTGTGTTTTGATTTTTAAATCATCTATTTTATTTATATTTACTTTTCTTGTGAGATTTAATCTTATACAAACTTTATAGATAGAAAGATGTTGGAAAACTGTCACATGGTCTGTTATGTTTATTGTGTTATTTTAATAGGCCAAATTCTTTGATGAAAAGAGAAATCTTGATAGTTTTTTAATTATGTAGGACACTTGACATTTTATCAGAAAACTATGTTGAAAATTGCATCGTTATGTATAGAGTGGCATGGATTCAACTTTGTATGCGTGAATTCCATTTGGAATGTTTGAATAGTGGATTACAGTTTTAACATGCTTTCATTTCATTTGGTCGTGTTAGGTAAGCAGAGGACCTTGTGTGTGGGAAAAGAATTACTTTGGTGCAGCTGCCCGAGAGGAGCTGGGGGAGGACGCTGGCCCGCGATGCTCGTCGCAGACAACGTGGCTACCATGTCCACGAGCCAGGCGAGTGCCGCGGCGACAGCGGCGGGACTTCTCACGCGGCAGGGCGACCTGGGCTTCGGCCTCCCTCCGGTTCCCTGGAAGCGGGCCCGCGGCCAGCGCCTGAACAGCAGCAGAAATGGTGGCTTCAGTGCCTGTCTCTCTTCCCCGTCAGCCTGAGCCAGGGGAGGCCAGGAGGCCCGGGTGTCTGGAGTGGGGGTCCGTGCCCGAGAATGAGAATTTTCTTCACGAGAACATGGAGACTGTTCCATCACCAGGAGCACAAAGTTTTCATTGTTGGGCTGGATAATGCGGGGAAAACTACCATTCTTTACCAATTTTCTATGAATGAAGTTGTACATACATCTACAAGAGAAAGTCATGTAGAAGAGTTAGCGATTAATAATACACGTTTCCTAATGTGGGATATTGGTGGCCAAGAATCTTTTCGTTGTTCCTGAAACACCTACTATACTAACACAGAGTTTGTAATAGTAGTTGTGGACAGTACAGATAGAGGATTTCTGTAACTAGAGAAGAACTCTAAAATGTTAGTGCTTGAGGACCTAAGAAAAGCCTGATTGCTGAGATTTGCTAATAAACAAGATGTTAAAGAATGCATGACTGTAGCAGAAATCGGCCAGTTTTTGAAGCTACGTTCTGTTAAAGATCACCAGTGGCATATCCAGGCATGCTGTGCTCTAACTGGCGAGGGATTGTGCCAAAGACTTGAATGGATGTCTTGACTTAAGATTAGATCTCTATGACCTCGTAGACTTTGTATAAATGAAGTGCTGGACTTTACCTGAAAACTGCAAAAATTAATGGTTTAGATATATTTATAATAAACTGATTTAAACTTTTTCCATGGAAGGACAAATTAAGACCACTTATTTGAAAGCAAAGATGGAGAGGGCGGCTTGTGTTAGTCACAGGGCTTTTTGTTTCCTGGGGTTCTTCCCTTGGTGTACCAGAAGACTCAGATCACATGTGGTGTTGGAGAATGAGTGCAAGGTTTTATTGAGTGGAAGCCAGAAGCGGGTGGAGTGGGAAGGTTTTCCCTGGAGTGGAGCTGCTGAGCGGCCGGGCTCTCCTCCAACTGCCCAGCCATACTCCACGTGGTTCTCCCAGTCGGTGGCCTGCCAGCATGCCCGTGCCTATCAGTGTGTTTATCTCAACATCCAGCCGCCTGCGTGTGCTTCCGCTGATGTGCTCCCCTCTACATCCAGCTGCCTGTGTCTGCCTGCTAGAGTCTCAGGGATTTTTATAGGCACAGGAAGGAGGGGTGTGGCAGGCCAGGTTGGTCATGTGAAATGCAACGTCTGGGCAGGATGTGCTTGTCCTCACCTAGGTCCATGGGGTTGGAGTCCTAGCCAGGGACCACACTCTCCTCTACCCAGCACTTCCCTTCCCCGCTTCTGTATCATTTAAATGGACCATGTTTTTCCCATCCTGGCACTTCCCTTCCATATCAACAGCACACTCTCCAGCCACCCTGGGGTCAGCAAACTCTGCAGTCATGTGGGGCCAGCAGCAGCTGGGCTGCAACTCACGTCTGCACCAGATCCTCATTCTTAAACCCCTTGTCTCCACCTGTTCATGTCCCAACTTCCCAAGTCTTGACTCCCAATGTCCCAGTCTCCTTTAGGTCTCAGTTTCCCTGTTCCAGGCCTCAGCCTCCCCTGAATCCCTGCCTAACCCAGTTCCTACCTCCCATATCCCTTCTCCAGGTCTCTGCTACCATGGCTCACCCAGCTGCACACCCACCCCACTTATCTCCTGGGACCCAGGAGGCCACTCATGAGCGAAGCCTGGTGTCATATGCCTGTAAATCTCGCTCTGAGGACACCCCTATGGCTGTGGCTGCCAATTTCACTGTGCATATTAAATGCCATTAAGATGGATGGGATTGGTTTTCAGTGTCGAGAGGACTGCAGCACATGGAGAAACAGCCGCCCTCAAGGGCCTCTCCCCGAGCTCTGGCAGCTGAGCCCTTGGTGGGAGGGGCTGGGGACCTGGGATCCATTTAGGGTGTGGTTGGGGGAGAAAGCAGGAGGCAGGTAGGACCCTCCCTAGAGCCTCTCCTGAGACGCCCTTAGGGCTGGGAATGGGAGCTACTTGGTGGGGGAACCTAGCAGAGGGGTTTCCTGTCCCTGGGCTGTGGCCATGCCGAGGATCCTCCTGCTGCTGTCTCAGCCCCTGCTCACTGTGTGATCTTACACAGCGGCTCAGCCTCTCTGAGCCCCTCTGTCGTCTTTAGCCACTAGCCACCAGAGTCCCCTGGGAGCCGCTGGCTGAGGCAAGGCTGGGCAGGGAGTTGACACAGGCTCTCACTCCTTCAGATGGCCTCAAATGGGATTCAACCTTGTCTTGGCTCCTGAGACCTCCCAGCCTGGGCTCTGAGGGTCTGTCCAGACCTGCAGGGAGGCAGCGGCCTGGGCCATCCCTGAAGATGGCTGGGCCTGCGGGACAGAGGTGGCCAGCGGAGGGCAGCAGAGGGCCATAGAACTGAGCAGCTGGTGCTCACCAGGCCGGGATGTGGCCACCCTGCATGCAAGCAGCTCTGCCTCTGCCCTGGGCCTTGTCCCACCCCAGGACACCCCAGACCCTGGCTTGGCTGTGGCAGGGAGGCCAGGCCTCACCCGTCTCCCTCCTGACACCTGCCCAGCCACTATCCTGGGCCACTGCCCTCCAGGCTTCTCCTGCCACCCACCCCAGCACCAGGCCCCCTGATGCCCTTCTTCCCTCCCAACAGCCCCTCCTAGACACCATCCTCGCCCAGCCAAGATGCCAGCACTGGATCTCCCCAAAACACTCTGGGCCCTGGAGGACAGGGTGAGACTCCAGCACCTTCCAGGTGGCACTCATGATGAACAATCCCAGGGGCCATGCACCCTGGACCCACCTGCCCCAACTCAGAGACCCCCACCGCAGGCCTTCAGCCATGAGTATGGACACACAAGCCTCCCGGGGTGTGGGCAAAGGGTTGACACTGGCCCATAGTGTGAGCACCACATCACAGGACGAGATGGAGACTCGGCCCCCAGGACAGCAGCCAGTGTTAACCTCGGGCTGGGTCAGGGTCTGGCCACGCTGAACCAGGTCTAAGCATCTTCAGAGGCCAGCCTCTCCCTGTGGGGTCCCCACAAAGACGGCCATGGGCTGGGCCCGCCTCAATCGAGCCCAGCACCTTGAGGGTCCCAGAGCGTCGTGGCTTGGGCCACTCACTAGTGGTCCCTTTGTGTCCTCTGGTGACAGAAAGCCCCTTTCCCATCAGCCCAGTCTGTCAGCCCCCTCTGCCCTGAGGTGAGGCTTCTATGACTGCTGAGGCCCATGGTCCTGGCTCCAACCTAGCACTCCTTGGGGACCTGCTCCTATGCCGGGCTCCCTGCCAGGCCCACACACGCAACCCAGCTAACACCAGCCCCACCCTGTCCTGCCCGCCACTCTCCTTCACTGGTCTCCTCTCCATCCTCCTCCCACCTGCTCGTGAAAAACCTCCGGCACATGAGCACCCATCCCCACACCTGCTCACCAGGCCTGCCTGCGCCTGACCCTCTCCCGAGGGCTGCAGGCTGGTTGGCTCGGCTCATTGGCACAGACTTGCGTCTGCCACAACAGCTAGTGAGGAATGAGCAGACCATGGGCTAGCCAGGTCTCCGCAGCCTGCCCTGGGCACCGTGATGCTCCAGGGTGGGGCAGTGAGGGAGGAGCTGCAGATGGCTGACAGCTGGCCGGGGTAGAACACACCTATTGGGGCTGCCCAGAGCGTTGGTGGGCCCGTTGGCTGGGGGAGCCCAGAGGAATAGAGCTGAGCCCTGGGCAAGCAGCACCTGAAGCCCACCCCACCAGGCTCTCACCAGCCCACCACACCCCACCCCGCCGCATTCCGGCCAGCCTGGGAGCTGAGTGCTAGTCAGGGTTAATGTCCATCTTGCATTGGGGGTGGTCAGCTTGCCTTTCGATGTTGATGGAAAGAGATGGCAGGGGCGCCTGGTGGGGTCTACCTGACTGCAGCCTTTGTCTTCCTCTGGATGTCTCCCCTTGGGAAGCCCTGTGAGAAAGAGGCCCCAGTGCCCCAAGGAGAACCCCACATTTCGCAGAGGAAGTTGGGCTGGGGTTGGCACTGACCCCTAACCTGGAGCTCTGGGACAGACAGTGGAGGTTTCCATGTGTAAAGACAAGAGGCCCCTGGGAGGCAGAGGAGGAGGGCTGGGAGGTCCCGAGGCAAGCCGTCCCTTGGGCCACACCTCAGCACCTGGCTTCCCCCCTCAGTTGCCAAGAAAATGCCACTTCCCTTGGTAGACGGCAGCACATGGGGCTCCCAATTAGGCGTGGGGTTTGGCAGGCTTCTGGGTCCTCAAGTCCCAAGTCCTGGTGTGGCAAATGCGCCCCAGAGCTCGGCTGCCGGTGAAAAACCTGTCTTCCCAGTTATCTGCAGCCCGTTTGCCTCAGGGATAATTGGCTCCCTGCAGCTCCTGCCAGGCCCCTTGCCTCCAGAGGAAGCTGTTGGGGAACAGGCTGGGCAGCACAGGCCCCAGAACAATCTCGCTTATGTCAGAGCCCCAGATATGCCCAGTTGCCCCTGCAGTCCCAGCGACAGCCACCAGGGAGGCCCATCCTGAAAGGCAGATGGTGGGAGGAGGCGGTGCTTCCTGGAGGCCATCGTGCCCCGGGAGAATGGTTTATTCTCAACTTTGATGTTTAGGTCTATACACTGGGAAGACAGGAGCTGCAGACCCTGCTGATGCCCAGCCCCGATGTCCCCTACCCCAGCAACTCCTCCAGCCTCACACACAAGAGCTCCAGTAGGTCCCAGCCTGGTCATGGCCCCACCACACCTGGCTAATGTTTGTATGTTTAGTAGAGACAGGGTTTCACCATGTTGGTTAGGCTGGTCTCGAACTCCTGACCTCAGGTGGTCCGCCCACCTTGGCCTCCCAAAGTGCTGGGATTACAGGTGTGAGCCACCATGCCCAGTCGATGTTTATGACCGTGAGTGGGGACAGATTTCTTAAACAGATCACAAAGAGCCCTAGTTTTAAGGGAAGAAATTGATAAATTAGACCGTATTCAAATTAAGAATTTCTGTTATTAAGAGACACCACTAAGAAAGTGACAAGGCAAGTTGCAGAGTGGGAACAGATCTATGAACACATAGAACTGACAGAGGGCTCACATTCAGAATATATAAAGAAGTCTTAAAAACCACTCAGAGAGGGCTGGGCGTGGTGGCTCACACCTGTAATCCCAGCACTTTGGAAGGCCAAGGCGGGCGGATCACAAGGTCAGGAGGTCGAGATCATCCTGGCTACCATGGTGGAACCCCGTCTCTACTAAAAATAGAAGAAATTAGCTGGGCGTGGTGGCGGGTGCCTGTAGTCCCAGCTACTCAGGAGGCTGAGACAGGAGAATGATGTGAACCCAGGAGGCAGAGCTTGCAGTGAGCCAAGATCACGCCCCCCCACTCCACCCCGCGGGGAGAGGAGCAGAATGTTAAAAAAAAAAAAAAAAAAAAAAAAAAAAAATCACTAAGAGAAAGAAAAATTCGTGAGTAAAAGACATAAACATGTATTTTATAGAAGCAAATATTTGAATGTGTTCAACTTTCTTAATATTCATGTAAATGCAAATTAACATCACAGCAAGATAACACATCCTCCAAAATGGTTAAAATTTATAAGACTGAGAACACCAAGTGTTGGAGAGAATCTGGAGCAAAAATAACTCTCATCTACTGCTGGAAGGGATACTGTGTTTGGCATTGAATACTTATGTTCTAAACAGTAGCACATTTAGGACTCAGGTATTTCGCTCTTAGGGTAACAGAAACACCTGCACAGCTGCATCAAAAGACATGTATAGAAGTGTGTGAGGCATCATTCTTTCTAATTGGAAAAATATTTTGAAACAAAACCCAAATATGACTTCTTTTTTCCAGCTTGGAAGCTGTCACTCCTGTCCGCACAACAACAACAAAAAACATCTTGAACAAGCTGAAAATGAACTTTTCTTAGATCCATCAGAGACTTGAGGTTAACAGGGCAAACCATTGTTCCCCAAATTGGAGAGGCAGTGAGTCCCAGCCTAACAGGATGGGAGGCTGGCCACTGGAGCCAGAACCACAGTGGGAAGACTGAAATGTAAATGACAAACTGCTGGAGGCTCTGTGTACATAAACTTGAGAATCAAGAATTAAGGGAGCCCAGTCTTAGGGGGCCCTACACTTTCATGAACCTCCAAGAGCTCTGCCAGAGGCTCTTGTGAACATCAAAGAAAAATTCCCTCCCGCTTCCCACAGGAAAGGGGAAAAGTAACTACTTTGAAATCGACCCAGGGCGTTCCGTTCTCCTTAGCAGAAGCCTGCCCCAGGGAGACCATTTCACCAGAGTCTAACCACCTTGGGCTTTACCAGGCCTAACACGTTAAAATAAGAATAAAAATTACATCAAACTTTTCTTCAGAACCCATGCAAGCAAGCAAGAAAACTCCACCAACCTAAAATTCTGTATCCAGCAAAATTATCCTTCCAAAGTGAAGAGAAATAAAAACTGTCTCAGACAAACACAAATTTACGGTTAGTAGATCTGTCAAAATGTTAAAAGAAGTTATCCAGAGAGAAGAAAATGATACAGGCTAGAAACTTGGATCTACATAAAGTAAAAAAGGTTTTAGAGAAGGAAGAAAGGAGCTTCCTGGCTCCCTCCTCCATGGGGCACTGGTGCTATGCCCAGCACCCAGATGCTCCTACCCAATGCTGAATAAAAACACAGAGCACCATGAATTGCTGGCTCTAAAAGGAAGAGTGGAGGACTTTTGTGTTCTCAATTCACAGCTGCTACTGCCACTTAAAGACACTGCAGTGAACATTGGAAGTTCTCTGGCTCATGGAGGAATATCTATTCCAAATATTCTGGGGAAAACTGTAAATTAAATAAAAATATGGTGAAAGCTGTCTTCCCTGAGCTTTTTAGATGTTAATAATGCACCTTATTGGGTGGGCATGATGGCTCACACCTGTAATCTCAGCACTTTGGGAGGCCAAGGTTGACAGATCACGAGGTCAGGAGATGGAGACCAGCCTGGCCAACATGGTGACACTCCATCTCTACTAAAAATACAGAAATTAGCTGAGTGTGGTGGCATGTGCCTGTAATCCCAGCTACTCGGGAAGCTGAGGCAGGAGAATCACTTGAACCCAGGAGGCAGAGGGTTGCCATGAACTGAGATGGTGCCACCGCACTCCAGCCTGGCAACAGGGCAAGACTCCTCTCAAAAAAACAACAACAAAAAACCCCCCCAAAAATGGACACCTATTTTTCACCATATACAAAAATTAACCCAGGTTGGATTAAAGATTTAAATTTAAGACCTCAAACTACAATAATCCTATAAGAAAAACTTCAAAAGTACCATTCTGGATATGGGCTATGGGAAATAATTCATGACTAAGTCTTCAAAAGAAATTGCAACAAAAACAAAAGTTGACAAGTGGGACCTAATTAAACTAAAGAGCCACCACACAGCAAAAGAAATCATCAACAGAGTAAACAGACAACCTACAGAATGGGGGGAATTATTCACAAACCATCATACAACAAAGGGCTAATATCCAGAATCTATATGGAACTTAATTCCACAAGCAAAAAACAGCCCCATTTAAAAATGGACAAAAGATACAGACACTTCTCAAAAGAAGACATACATGCAGCCAACAAACATGAAAAATGCTCATCGTCACTAATCATGAGAGAGATGCTAATCAAAACTACAATGAGATATTATCTCACACCATTCAGAATGGCGATTTTTAAAAAGTCAGACGGGGTGCAGTGGCTCACACCTATAATCCCAGCACTTTGGGAGACCGAGACAGGAGGATCACGAGGCCAGGAGATCAAGACCATCCTGGCTAACACGGTGAAACCCCATCTGTACTAAAAATACAAAAAGTTAGCCGGGTGCAGTGGCAGGCACCTGTAGTCCCAGCTACTCGGGAGGCTGAGGCAGGAGAACTCCAGAGGTGGAGCTTGCAGTGAGCCGAGATTGCCCCACTGCTCTCCAGCCTGGGCGACAGAGCAAAACTCTGTTTCAGAGGAAAAAAAAGTCAAAAAATAGCAGATATTGGCAAGTTTAAGGAAAAAAGGGAATGCTTATATACTGTTGGTGGGAATGTAAGTTTGTTCAGTCACTGTGGAAAGCAGTTCGGAGATTTCTCAAAGGACATAAAACAGAACTAACATTCACCTCAGCAATCCCATTACTATGTATCCAAAAGAAAACAAATTATTCTACCAAAAAGACATGTGCACTCCTATGTTTATTGCAACTCTGTTCACAATAGCAAAGACATGGTATCAACCTAGGTGCCCATCAACAATGGACTGGATTAAAATGTGGTACATATAGACCATGGAATACTATGCAGCCACAAAAGAATGAAATTATGTTCTTTGAGGGAAAATGGCTAGAGCTGGAAGCCACTAAGTGAACTAATGTAGCAACAGAAAACAAACACCTCATGTTCTTATAAGTAGGAGCTAAACTCTGAGTACCCATGGACATGAAGATGGTAACGATAGACACTAGAACTGCTGGGAGTGGGAGGGAGGAAGGAAAAGGTTGAAAAACTGCTGAGTACTGTGTTCAGTACCTGGGTGTTGAGATCTTTCATACCCCAAACCTCAGCAGCACACAATATACCCAGGTAAGTAACCTGCACTTGCACACCCTGAATCTAACATAAAAGTTGAAAAACAGAGTGGAATCTCTGTTCTCAACATATCAGTTGTGCCCCTCTTCAATTTGAAATTCTCACTATTGACTATATTTGGGGGTACCCTATTTCCCATCTCATAACTTATTTTAAGAAGCACAGAATAATAATGTGTGGACTTGGGATTCAGTTTTTGAAATAAAACACTGAGCCGCCAATGACCTTCCTCTACATGTAAAAGCACAGCTGTCTTCATGGCAGCAGTTGGACCTCACAAGGTGGATTGTGCCTTCACCCTGGAATGTCTATGATGCCCTATCAGCATGGTGATGGGATTAGGGACCTCTTGCACTTGGTCGTAAGTGCCACTGTCTGTGCTGAGTTTTTCGAAGGTCAGAGCAGACTGAACCTTTTTGCTTTGATTTTTCCTGATTTTGATTTTTCCTATGGGGAACCTGTGTTCCTGCATTCGAGGTATGTTCGTACTGGCCTGTCAAATGCTGTCTTTTCAAATTACTAGTTAATATTTTCAAAATATGATACTTTAAAAATCCTCTGTATTTGTCATATGCAGTTATAAGTACGTTTTGTGGTTATGTTTTATTCCTCACTTTATATATTTGATTCTTGTATCAAGCAGGGTACCTTTGAACTTTTTCTTCATTTAAAAAAATGTGTCATTTCCTTTTACATCCTGCACCCTTCAATGCTCCCCACCCCAAATTAAGTTATTCCCTTGGGGAGAATATAAAATAAAAACCTATTTTAATGTAGTTTTTAACCTAATTAAGAACCTATGAAATCATTCCTTTCAAAAAGTTTGGAACAAAGTCACAGTAGTATGAATGGGTTTGAGGCTTTTCACATAATAAAATGTACCTATTTTTGTTTTTAACATGTTTTTCCTTCTCTTCTTTTTTTGTGAAATGTGTATTTACTGTAATAAATTTGTAGTAAGTCATTTCCATTCACGTATGAATTTTAAAAAGTAATAAGAATATGTATTGTCTATATGTGAAATAAAACACACATTTATTTTGTCCTTTGGGAGTTATCCAAAATCACAGAATTGTTAATTACAGTCAATCACCCAACCTACTCACCTTTCCAGAGTAATCTTAGTCAAATATTTTTTTCTGTGTCCCAATGAAATGCAGTATTTCAACTCAGAAAGATAAACAGAATGAATTGGTAGAGACTGTTAACTAAGAACATGCAGTTTTATTTATATTCAGAAACAAGTAGATCCTGTATGTATATATGAAGAAAAAAATTAAAGGGATAATTGTATAAGTTTGCATGTAGAGAGCTTTGAAAACCTGTTTACTTGTTAATGCTGTTTGGATGGATTTTATGACTTAGTTCTACCAATCCATCATCCAGAGCTCTCTCGAGGAGCTCAGTGCTCATCAGTTCCATGACTTGGAAACTAAGTTTAGAGGCACTTGTATGTGTTAGTAGATAAGGCAAGATGATATTGTTTAGTGCAGAAGACTGAATAGATAAGCTACTCCACCCAGTACACTGGTGTTCATTTCATCGTCATCTCATCTGTTGACCATGGATGTGAAACACTTATCTTCAGTGACCTTCCTGTGCATGTAAAAGCACAGCTGTCTGCATGGCAGCAGTTGGACCTCACAAGGTGGATTGTGCCTTCGGAAAGTTTATGATGCCCTATCACCATGGTGATGGGATTAGGGATCTCTTGCCTTTGGTCCTAAGTGCCACTGTCTGTGCTGAGTTTTTCGAAAGTCAGAGCAGATTGAACCTTTTTGCTTTAATTTTCCCTGATTTTGATTTTTCTTATGGGGAACCTGTGTTCCTGCATTCGAGGTATGTTCATATTGACCTGTCAAATGCTGTCTTTTCAAATTACTAGTTAATATTTTCAAACTATGTTATTTAAAAAATTAACCTCTGTATTTTCCATATGCAGTTATAAATATGTTTCATGGTTATGTTTTTTCCTCAATTTATATATTTGATTCTTGTATCAAGCAGGGTACCTTTGAAATTTTTCTACATTTAAAGTATATATATATATGTATGTATGTGTGTGTGTGTGTGTGTATATATATATATATTATTTATTTATTTATTTATTTTTGAGACAGAGTCTCCCTCTGTCACCCAGGCTGGAGCATAGTGGCGTGATCTTGGCTCACTGCAAGCTCCACCTCCTGGGTTCCTGCCATTCTCCTGCCTCAGCCTCCCGAGTAGCTGGGACTACAGGCGCCCACCACCATGCGTGGCTAATTTTTTGTATTTTTTTAGTAGAGACGGGGTTTCACCGTGTTAGCCAGGTTGGTCTCGATCTCCTGACCTCGTGATCTGCCCTCCTTGGCCTCCCAAAGTGCTGGGATTATAGACTTGAGCCACCGCATGATCTCGGCTCTCACTGCAAGCTCCACCTCCCGGGTTCCCGCCATTCTCCTGCCTCAGCCTCCCGAGTAGCTGGGACTAGAGGGGCCCGCCACCATGCCTCTGGCCAGTTTCGTATTTTTTTTAGTAGAGACAGGGTTTCACCATCTAGCCAGGTTGGTCTCGACTCTCCTGACCTGCTGATCCGCTCTGCCTTGCCTCCCAAAGTGCTGGGATTATAGACTTGAGCCACCGCGCCTGGCCTAAAATATATATTATTTCCCTTACATCCTGCACCCTTTCAACGTTCCCCTGCGTCCAAATTAAGTTATTTCCTTGGAGAGAATATGGCAAAGCCCATTTTAATGTAGTTTCTTTAACCTAATTAAGGAACTTACGAACTATTACTTTAAAAAGTTTGGAGCAAGCCACAGTAGTACAGATGGGTTAAGGCTTTTGACACAATAAAATGTACCTATCTTTGTTTTTAACCTGTTTTTCTTCTTTTTGTGAAATGTGCATTTAGTTTAATAAATTTGTAGTATGTCATTTCCATTCACATATTACTTTTTTAAAAAGAAATAAGAATGTGTATTATCTATGTGTGAAATAAAACATTTATTTTTTATGCTTTGGGAGTTATCCAAAATCATAGAATTGTCAATTACAGTCAGGAGCTCAGTGCTCATCAGTTTCGTCACTTGGAAACTGTCTAAGTTTAGAGGCACTTGTGTGTGTTAGTAAATAAGGCAAGATGATATTGTTTCACAGGTTTTAGTGCAGAAGACTGAATAAATAAGCTGTTCCACCCAGTACACTGGTGTTCATTTCATGGTCATCTCATCTGTTGACCATAGATGTAAAACACTTATCTTCAGTGACCTTCCTGTGCATATAAAAGCACAAGTGTCTGCATGGCAGCAGTTGGACCTCACAAGGTAGATTGTGCCTTCAACCTGGAAAGTTTATGATGCCCTATCGCCATGGTGATGGGATTAGTGATCTCTTGCCCTTTGCCACAGTCTGTGCCAGCCAGGCCACCTGGCCATTGTGGCAGACAGTGGTGCCCTTTGTGTGGAGGGCACTGAGTGTGCGCTCAGGCAGACACAGCACTTTTGACTTCATCTGCTTCTTTCAAAACTGGGTCTGAATTATGATAAAGTGGTTGGTTTTAGGCCAAGCAGGTATATTTCATAGAACCAATGACTTGGGAGTTCAGAATCCTGGGTTTGAATAAGCCTCTGATTAAGCTTATTAAGCTTATCAGCTGTGAAATTTAAAGCAAGACATTTCACTGATAATTAAGCCTCATGAGCACTTATACTGTACACTTTACCTACATCGAATCATTCTGCCATCACCACAGACACATGGCAGCCTGGGCGACAGAGCAAGACTCTGTAAAAAAAAAAAAAAAAAAAAAAATTCACACATAAACAAGAACAGAACCCTATACCCTCCATGATAAATGCAGCAGCAGTGTACGTGGGTCTGTGGAGGTTGAAAGAGACTTGTAGATGTCAAGAAGGTAGTGGCAGTTCTGCTGGGTTTTTAAAGGGTCTGAAGAAGTGACAGGACACTGTGGTTGAATCCTAGCATGTATTTTAGTATTTGTTCATTTAGAGTTTGATTATTTCGCGTTGCTTTCATTTGCCATTACCTGGAAAGCCAGGGGCTCCATTCTCACTTCCTTCCTGCTCTTTCTTTGCCTTCCTTGGTCCATGAAGAGGATGGTCCAGGAGAAGCTCAATCCGTGCTTGTTAACGAGGCACACCCCTAAGTTCTAGTCCCTTAGTCATTCATGAATAGCATCACCAATGAACTGACGGCCATGCTGCATCCTTCCACATCCCCTAGGTGACTCGAAGAAGCCTTCCAAAAAGTGTTTGAAAAGGGAGCTCTACTTCGACGGTAAAGTAGCCTGTCTTTGCCTAAGATGTAAATGTTGTTTTCTTGGTTCCTTTATTTTTCAGTAGATATCAGCTATGGGAAAATTAACCGGTACATTATAGATGTTAGATAATATTTCCTTGGGAATGGAGGAAGTGTATCTTACCAACTGACTCCTGATTCCAGAGGACGACCACAGTTGGCAGTGTCAGACAGTACAGGGTGTGTTAAGGGATATTTTCTTCAGGAAGAAGTTTTCCACTTTAGATAGGAATTCTGGAATTGCCACCCAAAAATTATCTAGACAGAAGCATTCTTCAGGAAAAGCCCCTGTGCTTTCTTAAGGGAACTCTACTCTAGAGTTGAGGCTTTTGACTTGAACATCCTTTCCCACCTTCGTTACTCAGTTTCCAAGTGAAAAAAAGACCTGTAGGAACCATCCATAGCATGGCCTGATTCTCAGAGTGTTTCCTTCTCTAATTACAGGTGTCTTCATTGAGCACCCTTGATGGTACATATTCTGGAATCACTCACTGGCTGTTAGAAAAAAACTCTATAGGAAATGTGGAGCCTAACTGCTGGCTTTTGTCTGGAGAGTCTCCACGATCCAAGACACCTGGTGGGAATGAGGATGTGGGGTATAGTAAGAGAAACTGGTTTTCCAGGTGACAGACTCCTTTTATCTATGTATAGTTCCTGGGAATGTGTTCACATTAGGTTGTGTGTGTGCGGGTGTGTATTATGCAGCGGGGTGGGGGTGGTCTATGTGCAAGTCTGCATGATTCTCTTGTGAATGTGTGTCTGTGTGTGTTTCCCCCAGGAAAAAAATGTGTTTGCCCAGCACAACTCTCAGTGCCATTTTTCTTAATTTAACAAATCAGATCACATACTTTACTTACATTAGTTCAAACGTCCTCATGAACATATGTTGTGAGCTTGTTTATTGAACCCCCATACCAGATGGAGAAACTAACTAGAAGCCACAAAAATAAATGTGCCCTGGCTCACTTGCTATGCAGTGAGAGCCAAGATGTTTACTCATATGAGTCCCAGTGTTGAAGGCCTGAACTACAGCCTCTATTTATCAACCAGTGAAGGGATCACTCAGCCACCATGCAAAGTTCCAGCACCCTCTATGCCTGGAATTACCCAAGCCTGCAGAGATCTCAAATGCCATCCCTCACATAAGAGAGCCTCGTGATCTCAGAATCCAGGTAGCTGTAGGCATCTCACCGGGGTTTCATTAAATTAAGCTAGTGTGAAACCGACATGAAAGCCCATGTTTCTGATCAAATCACAGGTTCTGGAGGCACTAAAGGGAGGCGATGAGTGGACAGTATGGTGCCTGTGTGTCATGGCTGGGTCTCTCCTCAGGGCATGGCTCAAGTCCAGTAAGGTGGGGCGATGCTTTGGAGTCTTGTGCAGTTCCCCACAAGCCCTACTGGGCTCACACTTTAGGGATCATGACCAAGTAAGTACTCAAATTATCACTTGGAGTGGTTATCAGGTGTCTGTCGTTCTTATGGCAACTCTCTTGTAGGCTGGTGGGGGAGAGTGTCGGTGTGGGCTGTATACATACACAGATGGACGGTGGGTGCAGGCATGGTCAACAGCTCAGTGGTTACACACACAGCATTGAGCAGTAAGGCTGGGCTTCATTATTTACACATTTTCAATAACCGATGATCTTCATAACATAAAATAAATGATGTACTACATTAGAATAACATCCTGATGTTGGATGTGTAATATAATAAGGCATTAAAGTCATGTGAGTTCATTCATTTGATGATACATACGTACTTGTAGTTAAAGCAGTCATTGAAAAGGCTTTTACTATAAACTTATAGAATACTGTCCCTAGTATTGAATCTTGTGTCTCAATAAGGGCTTGGTTAAAGTCACATGTGAGGTTCCATTCAACTGATGATACATGCCGTAGCAGCAGTTAAAGCAGTCATTTGAAAAGGCTTTTACTATAAACTTACACGTGAGCCTGAAGTGGGGGATAAAAGAGGTAATTAGCTCCCCTGTGCAATGTTTCTATTACATGAGTGGTGGAGGACAATTAGGAAGGTGGTGGAGGGAACAGTGCAAATGATTGGACAGGTCTATTAAACCCATAAGACTATGGTGAGGTTAGTGAATGAGACTGGTCATTTTAGGTCAAATTTTACCTCGTGTGTTCTTTCCATGCTTTCTTCCAGTAGTTCCTTCTTTTTTTTAATTTTTTTGAGACTGAGTCTCGCTCTGTCACCCAGGCTGGAGTGCAGTGGTGTGCTCTCAGCTCACTGCAAGCTCTCCCTCCCAGGTTCATGCCATTCTCCTGCCTCAGCCTCCCCAGTAGCTGGGACTACAGGCCAATGCCCGGCTAATTTTTTGTATTTTAAGTAGAGACGGGGTTTCAACATGTTAGCCAGGATGGTCTCGATCTCCTGACCTTGTGATCTGCCCGCCTTGGCCTCCCAAAGTGCTGGGATTACAGGCGTGAGCCACTGCGCCCAGCCCCTTCTATTTTTTGTTAACTAGGTCACTGTTGGTAAAATCCTTACTAAAAGAGGACAAAGCTTTGTAATAACATAAAAGCTTGTAAAGTTGTGATAGCTCAAATTTTACAAAATACTGGGGGCTTTTGCCTGAGACCTGGATAAACTAGTTGTGTAAGAATTGGGGGTCCTCTGAAGACTACTGGACTTCTGGGAAGAAAGATCCAAGTTGTCTTTCTGTGATTTGGAGTTAATCTTAAAGCCAGGGACATGGTAGTCTCTAAGTCACATAGAAGGCTCTGAGAAAGGAAAAGGAGGTCTCCATTTTCTGGATTTAGGATGTCTCTGAGCAAGCCAGGGGGTCACAGAAGAATGCAGAGAAATAAATGATGTGGGTAATACATATGTTTATAGTGGAGGTGGCAGACTTAATTCATTAAACCACCAAAGCACCAGCCCACATGGCCACTTTTCCAGTTAATTCACAGTAGCTTGCATATTCAGGTTTGATCGGTGAAAGGGAAGTTACTCTTTGCAGACCCATCTTTTGACAAGCATTTTGCAGTGTCAGAAGGTCTGAGCAGCCTTGGGAGGCAAAGAGACCCTGGTCCCTCAGTGTAGTCACTGGAGGAGACAGTCACTGAGAGGCAGCTGGCAGGGTGAAGGGAGAGGGGAGGAAGACCCCAGAGATAACAGCCTTTAAAATAAACTGTCATATTGGGTGGGGGGGTCAAGGATCTGAAAGATAGAGGAAGGAGAATTCTGTATCATTAAGGACCTGTCTTTGTCTCAGGCATCTCCTCCAGAGCATCACCTTTGTCCACCCACACACCTTAGGCTAGGAGGACTGGAGAAAGACAGTGAGGGGGTCTCTTGGGTCTCTGGCACAGGGTGTGATGTAGAGATGTCAGTTGTTCAGGCATCTCTGTCTCTAGGGAACCAAATACATTTCCCATCTCAGATCCTTCCTCACTGGGGTTGGGGTTCTGCTCATCACCATCTCTGAATGCCAGCACTCTCAAGTGTAAAATCTCAGCCACAGCCCCTCCTCTTCTGTCCCGGCAGGGCCGATGTTCTCCATAAGCCATAAGGCATCAGGCCCACAGAAAAGCTGAACAGGAAACCATGCGCCACTGCCCCGGAGCCATCCAAGCACCTTCTCCATATTCAGCCACTACTAAGTGTCCAGCTTATTCCTCCTGGCATGTAGTAAACACTTAGAGAACACTACTGAAGTACCAGTCTTCTCTTAAGATTTTCCTGTATTTAGTGATTTTTTAGCCCTATACTGTGATATTAAGAAGTAGGGCCTGAAAAGTATTGCTAAAATTTCGTTATGACAGTGCAGAGAACTGACGGCAGAGGGACAACACGAGCTTGCCAGGTCCACATCGCTTAGTGGAATTTGAATCCGGGCCCGTACTCTGCACCAGCCCTGCACTGGCAGTCATCCTGCTGTGTTCTCCTCTCCCTGAAGGCACTGCCCACAGTCTGTCTGATAGAGGTGTTGGGTGCTCACTGAACTCCATGATCTTCCTGAAACCCAACTTTGATTCAGCAGGCTCTGCTTGGAAGCCTGTAAAGGACAGAATCATGAGTTTAAACTTAGATTATCACTATTTTCCCTCTGGTCTTCTGTCAGCAAGATGTCAACAGTCCTCTCTATTGTAAATGAGCATCTTCTCTGATAGGTATTTTAAGAAGATATGTCGTATCCACCTCTCAGGGTCAGAGACCTCGTAGCTCCTGGGTAAAGAAGGGAATATACCCAGTAGAAGGTACTGTGGAAATTCATTAAATAAGTTGATTCTAGAGTCACAATTGTGGGGAGTATTCAGTGTCCCATATGTAAGAGGAAACTATGAAGAGACTAAGCTATATTTTTTAATGTGTCAGAATTCTAATTTGCCGAGTCAGCAAATATTGCAACAACCACAAAGTAAATATCCACTTAAAAATCAATTTTGGTTCATGTTTAATGATAGAAAATGTTTCAAGCTAATGTCTAGAACTTACCTGGTTGTTAAACATTAGCATAGATCTTCCTGAAAGAGTGGTGTGATATTATTATTTTTAAATTAATATAAAGTAAGTATAAATTAATTGACATAAAAATTGAGCATATGGCCAGGCGTGGTGGCTCATGCTTATAATCCCAGCACTTTAGGAGGCCAAGGTGGGCGGCTCACTTGAGGTTGGGAGTTGGAGACCAGCCTGGCCAATATGGTGAAAACCCGTCTCTACTAAAAATACAAAAAACTAGCCAGGTGTGATAGTAGGTGCCTGTAATCTCAGCTACTCAGGAGGCTAAAGCAGGAGAATCACTTGAACCCAGGAGGTGGAAGTTGCAGAGAGCCAAGATCATGCCATTACATTCCACGCTGGGCAACAAGAGCGAAACTCCATCTCAAAAAAAAAAAAAAAAAATTGAACATATAATACACAAAGTTCCCACATTATTCTGTCTCCTCACCCTCACTTCCTAATTTCACCTATTATTAACATCTTACATTACTGTGGTACATTTGCTAAAATCATGAGAAAATATTGACACATTGTTATCCGAAGTCTATCATTTGCATAATGTTCATTCTTTCTGTTCCACATTTATATGACGTTTGAAATATTTATAACATTATGTTCACCATTATGTTCTCATAAAGAATATGCTCACCTCCCTAAAAATCCCCTCTTCTCACTCATTAATCTCTGTCCTCTTTCTCCAGAAACCTTGGCAACAATTAATATTTTTACTATCGCTTCAGTTTTGCCTATTCCAGAATGTCATATAGTTGGAATCATATATTATGTAGCTTTTTCAGATGAATTTATTTCACTAAATTGATGTATATTTAAGTTTCCTTCATGTCTTTTTTATACCTTAATGGCATAAAATGCACATTAAATCATCAAATAATATTGCATTAAATGGATTTTTGTCTTTGTATTCACCTGTTGAAGAATTTGGTAGATTTCATGAGAGAAACCATCTGGGTCTGGTGCTTTCTTTTTTGGAATGCTCTTAATGTGAATTCAACCTGTTTAATAGATATAAGTTTATTCAAATTATCTAGGATTCTGGTGTGACCTTGGGAAGAGTGTCTTTCAAGGACTTGGTACATTTCACTGAGGTTATCGAACTGTGGTCATAGAATTGTTCATAATATTCCTTGATTATCCTTTTACTGCCCAACAGTTCAGTCGAGATGGCTCCTGTATTATTTCTGAAACTGGTCATTTGTGTTATCTTCTTTTTCTTGGTTAGCCTGCGTAGAAGTTCATTCATTGTAATTAGCATCTCAAATAACCAACTTTTGGTGTTAATGATTTTCTGATGATTTCAGTGTTTTATTTTTATTGACTTCTGTGATGTTGTTTATTACTTCTACTTGCTTTACACTGCATTTCTTTATTTTCTACAGTTTCCTAATTGAAACGTGATATTGCTGATTTTAGATTTTGTAATTTGTAATATATTGCATCCAATGCTATGAATTCCCTTCTATGGACTGCTTTTGTTACATCCAGAAATCTCGTCAAGTCACATTTTCATTTAATGTAGTTAAAGGTATTTTTAATTTTCTATTGAAACTTTAATCCATGAGTTATTTAAAAATGCATTGCTAATTTGCAAATATTTGGGGATTTGTCTGGCTCTTTTACATCTGTTGATTTTTTGTTGTCAGGTATGTGTTGCAAAAGCGGTGATCTATCTCATCTTGCCACCATCCAAGATGGCCCAGGATGTGGGCTCTCCCTGAGTGAATGTTCGGCAATCTGCCAGCCGTATGTGGTTGGCCTCTTCCTTTAGTCTGAGTTTGCTTTCTGCTTAGAAAGGGCCATTCTCAGTTCTGGCTGGAAGTTTTCCTAACATTGAGAGGTGACATTCTTACTCCCCAGTGCAGCCTGCACCTCTGGCCTGTGGTCAGCAGACAGGACAGAGGCCCTCAGTAGACAGAGTTCAGCAGAGTCTCTGACCGAAGTGCATCTTCAGAGTCTGCACTTAACCCCCCGTGACCACACGCAGGCTCTGTGTCCTAAAGGAGGAGGAACTGTGCGACCATCATGACTGGAAATTTGTAAGGATCACCATGTTACTCAAGTAAGGTCTTTGGAAAGTGTCGTGTTACTACTGTTTGTTAACTGCTTGTTGGTGGCCTGGCTGAGCCACACCCTTTATGAAAACCACGACCCCTCAGCCGGTGTGGGTGTCTGTGCAGCCTGAGACCCTCATGTGAACAGTCCTTTGCTGCTTTATTTGTCATCGTGCTTGACGTGTAACTTGCAGCATTTGATTACGCCTATGTTTTTTGGTGATAATACTTTCAACTATTCCTAAAATATTGCTTCAGTCTTATCTGTTTGGGGTCAGTTGCTGAGGATTTCATACAAATTGATGAAGTTTGTGAATCTAAAGTTCTACACAAAGGGAGACATCAATCCTACAAGCTAATATTGTTTTACAGGGTTTAGAAAACCATTTAGCTGGGTTTCAAACCTCACAGTGTGAGCAGTGGGACTCATCAGATTATAGCGTGTGCTTCAGTACCATTTGTAGACTGACTCATTCCTGTTGCCTGAAGTTGCCATCAGCAAAATGCCAGGGACTCTGTTTCTCGCTCCTCAGTTCCTTGTTCTTGCCTATCTTTCCATGAGGGAAGATTTTCTAGCAGCAGCTCAAGCTGTGCTTTTAATGAAACACGTCTGCACACACTGTCCTGTTGTCCACATTAAGCAGAGCTCCCTGAATAACTCATGAACAAAAGCATCTATGACTAACGGTTGCTCTGTGTCCTTCTAGCCTCTGAGGAGTCTCCAACTCACAAGGACAGAGGAGATGGGGAGAGGCTGGTCGACGCGAGGGTAAGGTTGCGTTGCTTTCCCTGAAAACAGAAACGTTTCTTTCTTGGCGTCTTTCTTTTTCAATTGACTTTACGTGTGAAAAAATGACAGTGTACATTACAGGTATTAAATGCAGTGTTCTGAGGGGGTGGAAAAAGCGACTCTTAGCAACTGATATGTAAACCCAAATGGCATTTACCTTTGATGGCTTCAGGTTGTAGACTGTATCCTTGGGGCCCTTGTCCTTGGAAGCAATGTCTTCTCCTTGGATTCAGTATTTTGCACTTGCCAACCTATGTGGACCTGAGAGATCCAACATCCAGAAGCTGATATCTTTTCTAGTGTGTATCCTACCCTTGTTAGGGGGGCCTTGAAGTTGACCACACTTTCTGATCTTGTTTTCAGTATTCACTGAGAGAAACAGAGCCTTGTGCAAACAATCCACAACACGACGTACCCCTCATAAAGCTTTGTTTCTGTATTGCAGGTGGTGCAGGTGGTCCCTCTGAGGTTTGACTCTAGTAAGTATTCTGGAATTACTTGCAAAGAAAGCAATCTGAATGCAAAGAAAGGTGTGGCATCCTTGTAGGTTTCAATGTGAAGAGCCACCCTGAGCCTGGGACTGTGATAGGAATAAGCATAGTGGAAGTGTTTGTAAAAAAAAACCTGAGTTCCCCAGGGAAAAAATTATGGCCAATTTTTGAGGAAGCAGCTGTGCTCCCTTTTGGGTGGTACTGAGTTGGGTGCTTGAGGATTGGTGGTGTCTTGTGTGAGGCTGCATCATGTGGTGTGTGTGTGTGTGAGTGTGTGTGTGAGTGTGTGTGTGAGAGTGTGAGTGTGTGTGAGAGTGTGTGTGTGGGTGTGTGAGAGTGTGTGTGTATGTGTGTGTGAGTGTGTGTGTGACTGTGTGTGTGAGTGTGTGGGTGTGAGTGTGTGGGTGTGTGTGAGTGTGTGTGTGGGGGGTTGTGTGTGTGTGGGTGTGTTTTTGTACAGGTGAGGCTGTGTGTTTTCTCAGGAGAGATTTCCCATTTATACAACTCAATCACCAGTGTCCACTTCCAACAATAAAATCCATCCCCCTCTACTCTCTCTGTACAGTGACTCCACCCTCACCAGAGCCATCCCTGGGTCTGGCTTCTAATCCCCACTGCTCAGGTGGAGAACCTGAAGGGCCAAGGGGGTGGCCCCAGCTCCCGAGTTCCTGAATGAAAAAGTGAAAACACAAACCCAGGAGAGGGGGCCAGTGCTGACGCTGACATGCACTTAGTCATGGGGTGTTCGCCACCACGCAGGGAATCCAGCATTCATGTATAAGCACTAAAGCACAGAGCCTAAGAGGTCCCAGACACTGCCCATTATCATAAAGTGGCCTCCGTGGTCACATGACCCAGGGCAGTTATAGGCACATCTCCCCACCGACCAGCGTAGTTATCAGTGTGTCAAATGCACAAAGATCCCCGGGGGTTTGGGTCAGCTCACAGACTTTTTTTTAAAAAACTTTTATTTAAAGTTCAGGGGTACATGTGCAGGATGTTCAGGTTTGCTACATACATAAACGTGTGTCAAGAGTTTGTTGTACAGATTATTTCATCACCCATATATTAAGCCTAATATCAGCTATTTTTCCTGATCCTCCCCCTCCTCCCACCTCCCACCCTCCAGTAGGCCCCACACTCACAGATTCTAAGAGAAGCGGGGGACCATGCAGGCCAATGTGGCCCACTTCAGTTGTGAAGTTAATTTGCTCAGCAACTGGCCAAAGCCTGTAAGGATTGGTGATGTATTTTAGTAGATTTAGTAATATTATCTTCCCAAGCGCTAAAATGCTCAAATCCTGCCAGCTGAAAATGGTGAGGAGGGACAGATGGGAACTCTGTACAGTAATTGGTTATTAGCCTGGCTTCCGTCCCCTCGTGGCAACTCTCTTGTGCATGTGGGTTAAAGACCCTCAGCCTCAAGCCAAGCGTCCTCCATGAGGAGCCATCTCACTATTGACTGGCTAGTGTGGTGTATGGCCACCAGCCCAGCTGAAACAAAACGTGGCTTTAAAACAAGTGTAAATCTCATACAACAGGCAAATGCAGAAGTAGCATGACTTGCAAGTTGTAAAGAAGACAGTCGCAGTGTTGCTGGACTTCAACGTGGGTAGACGACATGAGCGAACTCTGTCACTGAATCACAGCAGAATTCAAGGCCACTTGTAGACTATTTTGTGTTACAGAAGGTGGCCTTTAGCTCCTAAGCAAAGACCTCTGTTTCTCATTTCTTTCCTGTTCATCTTATTGGTCATCCTTCTTCTGCAAGGGAAAAGAGCCGAAGCAAAAGGCAGTTTCAATATTAATCTGACCGAGGTTTTGTGCAGTTTATTATCATCCAGGTAATCAGGGGCAACCCGGTCTGCCTACCAGCCCCCCTGCCCCTGCTCTGTGTTTTCATTTAATAAACATTTTGGTCTACTTACTATGTGTTAGATTTTCTGGAGACCACAGAGTAAATGAGATAGCATCTTTATGTTGACAGCTAACTTAGATTTAACATAACTGACAAAAATTAAGATTTCTGATTTCTTGTAAGAATATTTTGTATGTGTTAATACATGATGAATGTAAAGTGGTTAACAAAAAGAATCACACTTGCACTCATGGAGGGCTTTTCATGAATTTGTCAATTTCTGTTTTTTTATATTTCCCCACTTCACTGGATAAAGCATATCTGAACCTGGAAGCTGATTCCCACTGCAGAAAGCGTTCTGAGTCATGTCCCTTAGCTTCACTAGCACAGGTCCACCCGGGAGGATGGCCCAGCATCAGCTCGGCCCATGCTGTGATCAGCCACCTCCATGCACCACACCAAGCAAGCTCCCTGGGTGATTCACAGTCTCCACCACCAGGGCACTGACCTTCACTCTGTGTTCTCCTAGCCCCCTGTGGGGACCCTATACAGCACATCTCTGACGAAGACACTGTATATGACATCTGTGATGAGGACGCCGTAGACATCTGTAATGACACTGTGGACATCTCTAATGAGGCTGCTGTACCTAACATCTTGAATGACGCTGGAGACATCTGTAATGAGGACACTGCAGAAAACATTTCTAATGAGGACATTGTTTACAACATCACTAATGAGGACACTGAACAACACATCTCTGAAAAAGAAGACGCTGCCAAGGTAAGATACTTTTCTTTGTCTTGAACAGAAATGTTACTTTCCTGACTTCTTTCCAATCAGATGTAGACATGAACATCTGCCAATGTGCATTATTTATGACATCTGCAATTCCCTTGGTGTGGTGCTATTGATTGGCAGCCTCTCACCAACCCATGCCGGGCACACGGGGGCGTGGTAGATGGCAGTATCCACGATCCACTGCAATGCAGAGGTGTTTCCCTCCACAGCAGGTTTCCCCCATGAATTAAGAATTGTGAAACTGCCCATTTAAATATACTTTGAAGGTAAATTCTGTGGGTAAAGGTCTTGTCTTTTCCATAGGTGTCCTCCGTGCTAGTTTTGGGGGACTTTGACCTTTGACTCAATCACTATACCCTTTCTAATTTTCCCAAGTTGTTGAGAGAATATCAGATCTGTGTGACGTGCATGGCATCATTTCACCCTCCTAATGTTTTCTTTTCTGTAATTGCAGGAGCCATTTATATTGGAAAATGGTACATACCCTGAAATAACCCACTTCCTGAGGGAAAAACGCTGTCTGTGGGGTATAGAAACCTGATTCTGGGCTCCTTTTGGGAAGGAAGATTTGGGATCTGGTGAGAGCAGATGATTTTGCAAGTATAAAACAATGTCCAGAGAGGCTGGAGGGATGTCTGTGAACCAGAGGAAACACCAGGGGATCCTGTGTGAAGCACCGGGGCTTCAACTGGGGTGGGAGAAGTGGGTGGGCCTCTCTCTAATGACTTATCCGGATGTTTGTGTTTTAAAGATCTGTTTTCGGAGAGCATATCTGATGATGAGGATTTGTAGGTAGGTAACTACTTTCCGTGTAAGATCCAATGGGAGAGAGTTCCCAGGGGCCTTCAGGGTATCCATGCTGCTTGGGAGGTTGAGGGAGGGGGCATGAAATCGAAAAGAAAAAGGAAATATGTGTCAAATTGGATTTGGTCTTTTCCAAGTTTCTTGCTATAATGTAAGAACTCTCTTTCTGGGCTGTGAGGGTGCTGTGTGATTTAAAGGTGATCTTTCCCAAAACACCTGGCGTTTTCTCTTCTGCCTCTGCCTCTGCCAAACATCACAGCCTTTGGGTTGGACTAGTCAGCACTGCTTGGGATTGTGCAGAAGAGGTTTGGGGTTTCATCAGGAGGCACCTGTGGCGAACAGAATCTGAGGACACAACTCCCTCACAGGCACTTACTTGAACCTGGAGACAAAGTTCTCCTGGTGCATGCCCAGGGGTGCAGGAGAAATTCACGGTCATCCTCTGAACTTTTAGGACTTTAAAAAGCACTCATGTTTCCATCTGGCTGTTGACTCCTGGCTTAAAGGGAGCTCCCGGGGTGAGTGACGGAGGCGGGATCGGACCCTGGCAGTCTGACGGCAACACCTGTGTTCCTCTGCACTGGGCCTTGGACGACATTACACACCTTTGTGAGAATCAGGAATTATACACCTTTGTGAGAATTTGCATCTAGAATTGAGATGGACCTTGAGTCATATAAATAAGTTGGAAAAGATGCATTTTATTACCCTGTTTAAAGAAACCATTTATTTCTCACTCCAGCGGGATAAATGGTTTTCAGTATCTACTTAACTGCTCATTGACTCTTACTGTAGATGAGGAGGTGGCAAGCAGCCCCTGCCCTCCCACCGTTGTAGGTCCAAGGTAACCAGCAATTGGCTGGATATAATGGAAGAGGGGTGCATTCAGAGGTATCTGTATTAATGGGACTCGCATGATATGGGTGACAGTTATTAGGGTGAGAAAAAACCTTGTGAGCACAATGAAATGTTTAAATATTAAACAAAACATTGTTGAAATCTCCATGGTACTTTAATAGTTGAAGTCATTCTTGTGGTCATCACTGCCTTTCCCAAACATAACAAGCTACTTAATGTCACATGGACCCATGCCATGAGGAATGAGGGTCAGTTTGTAAAATGCCAATAAAGCCATTGCCCGTATAAGCCACAATATTTCATCCATATATTTCAATGTCCATGTGTAAGTATAGTTCAAATGTCAGAAATTTATTATTATCTAGTAGAATATGCATGGTATATCCATGAGCAATAACCATTATACTATTTCTATTAACAATTATTTGTATGATGAAAAACGCAGACTCCCATTCTTGGAGTTTTCTGAGTTTGCACACATTAGCATGACAGCCCCATATTCACCTGACGTGTGCCAGCAGGAGGCCAGGAACAGAGGCTTTTCCTATTAGCTAAGATTTCTAAATGTATTACGTATTCATGGTTAGAAATTACTCTAAATATCATAAAAGGTTAGCAAGGAAGTTTCCCTTCCACTCTGAACTTCCAAACACCAAGTCAACATTTTTGTTCACATATCATCCCTATAATCTATGTGCAAATAGAAACGTGTGCCTGGAATGCATGCTGATGCGGGATCGTGTTTATACAAAGTCTCTGCACCTCTGCATATACCACTGGGCAATGTGCCTTAGTTATCATTCCATATTTCAAATGTGAATCCATTGTATTGTTTCAGGTCTATGAAATACTGCATCCTATGACTCTTCCCAAAATTACTTAAGCACCGCCCTCTGGGTATCCATTTGTTCTGTTTCCAGTCTTGCCCTTATGACCAATGCTGTAGTGAACAGCACTGTGTTGAGTGAAGTGGTGAACGCGGCATCTTTGTCTTGTTCCAGTCCTCAGGGGGGACGCTTTCAACTTGCCCCATTCAGGATGATGTTGGCTGTGGGTTTGTCACAGATGCCTTTTATTACCTTAAGGTATGTCCCTTCTATGCTGATTTTGCTGAAGGGTTTTAATCATGAAGAAATGTGGCTTTTGTCAAATGCTTTTTCTGCATCTATTCAGATTATCATATGATTTTTGTTTTTAATTTTATTTATGTGATGTATCACATTGATTGACTTGCATATGTTAAACCATCCCTGCATCCCTGGTATGAAACCCACTTGATCATGGTGGATTATCTTTTTGATATGTTGTTGGATTCAGTTAGCTTGGATGTAGCATTTCTTATTATTCCATCTGTGGAATGTATTGGTTTAAGTAATGAAAACATGTTCTATCTTCACTGCCTAGCACTTTCTGTTTCTTTAACAGCCTTCCCAACAGGGCAGCATAAAAGCAGGAGCCCTGCTAGTCTCCCCTTAACCTGGAATCCCCCCTTCCTACAGCTTGCTCATTGGACAGGATAGACTGGGCACCCAGGCCTCAGGGTAAGGACATGCTCCATCACCTAGAGGTGCAGTGCCTGGGAAGGCCAACCGTGGAGGGGCGCTGCCAGCTTTACAGTGATAGAGGTGTTGGGAGGGACTGACCACCAGTTCATAAGGCTGTGCTTTGTTGGTGACGTCAAGGATTGTTTCGCAGATTGTTGGGGAGGGACAATCCCAAGGCCTCACCTGGTCCTGGTCCTGGTCCTGGTTTGCACAAAGGCAATAAGAGAGGAATGGTCAGGGCTGACCTGTTGCTGTGCTGGGGAGGAAGGTGCTGGGCTGAAATTCAGGAGGCTGAGGATGCAGCAGTCCCATAGGAGGTACATGACCTTCAGCATACGGTTTCTTAATTGATGATAAATGGAAATGATAAATCATTGACGATTTTTTTCTATCATTGGATATCTACTCTCTACTGCTCGTGCTGTTCCTATCTTTATGGGGAAGATGATCAATCAGTGTGTGCCATACTGAGTGGAAGGAAGGAGAGCTGCAACAAAAATTAAGGGAGGATGAGGGATGGGAGGGCCCTTCATCCAGGTGGTCACAGAGTCCTCCTGAGGGGGAAAGCTCCGTGGCTCCCTGAGGAAGGAGCCGTGAGGGCTGTGTGACTCCCACAGTGAAGTGTGTGGTATGTCTGAGGACACCCAGGCTGGTCCGTGAGGAGCCAGTGGAGAGTGAGAAGCAGCAAGGTCAGGAGGGTGGCTGGAGGCCAGGCTCTGGGTCATTCTCCATGTGATGGAAACAGCCAGAGCCCAGTGGGCTTGGAGGTGCGGGACGTGGTGGCTGATGACAGAACAATGCAGGGAGGGGTGCCAGGTGTCAAATCCTTACTTTGTTCTGGGCATTGTGCTAAAACTTCCCGTGGCTCACCCCTTTTAGGGGCTGAAAGTTGCAGAGGTTTAGGAAACTCGCCCATGATACTGGAGCCCCCATCTCCTGCCCTAGTGCTGTCCCCTTTCTCACCCAGCCACCACCTGTTTCAGGGGAACACACAGAAGTGATAACCTCTTATGGACACACAAGTAAATTCTACTGTTTTTGTTATTCACAGAAAAAAAAAAAAATATTGGTTCATGTGGGTTGGGAAGGTGAAATACCAGAAGTATTTCTTCTGGTTATTTCCACCAACGTGAATCCTGTAGTATTGAAATGCATAGGTTAGCATTTTTGGCCAATTTACTCAGCATTCCGGGTTAAAGGCTCTTATTTTATGTATGTATGTATGTATGTATGTATTTGATGGAGTTTCGCTGTTGTTGACCAAGCTGGAGTGCAACCGCATCTCCACCTCCTGGGTTCAAGTGATTCTCCCTCAGCCTCACAACTACTGGGATTACAGGTGCTCACCACCATGCCTGGCTAATTTTTTGTATTTTTAGTAGAAACAAAGCTTCACCATGTTGGTCAGGCTGGTCTCAAACTCCTACCTCAGGTGATCTGCCTGCCTCAGCCTCCCAAAGTGCTGGGATTACAGGCAAGAGCCACCACACCTGACCTAAAGGCTTTTAAAATTCACTTGTATAAGCTGACTTAGTTTTCTTTAACCTTGTAGAAAAAATACAAAAATGGTAGTCTCTTTTATCACACAAATAATGTCGTTTTAATAGAGTTTTTTTCTTTTTTTTTTTTTTTTTTTTGAGCCAGAGTCTTGCTCTGTCACCCAGGCTGGAGTGCAGTGGCGTGATCTCAGCTCACTGCAAGTTCTGCCTCCCGGGTTCACTCCATTCTCCTGCCTCAGCCTCCCGAGTAGCTGAGGCGCCCATCACCACGCCTGGCTAATTTTTTGTATTTTTTAGTAGAGACGGGGTTTCACCATATTAGCCAGGATGGTCTCAATCTCCTGACCTTGTGATCCACCTGCCTCGGGCTCCCAAAGTGCTGGGATTACAGGCGTGAGCCACCGCACCCAGCCAATAGAGTTTTTTTCTAATTGATATATTATGTACTTTTCATTCACTAATTAATTGCTTACATTTGAAGTGTTTTATGAATTAATATTTAATTGCATAGATGAAGATTACTAGTCATAGGCATTTTACTAACCAGTACTCATTAAGCATAGCATGGATTCATGTGATGTTGCACGCCGAAAGAGTGAGGGTCGTGATCAACTCAGTGTGCCACTGGAGGCTATACGAGTAAACAGCAAAGTGTTCTCATGAATGCAGAATGTTGGCAAACTGACAAACTGCATCTGCCACCCAGAGGGAACGCTGAGAGCAGTCACACCCTAGGCGCAGCATTTCTTGAGATTAGGCACATCTGAAGCCTGTTAGCAATAATGTGAACCTGTGAACAATTGAGAACCTGTGAACAATTGAGAAGGCACATCTGAAGCCTGTTAGCAATAATGTGAACCTGTGAACAATTGAGAAGGGTATAAGGTTGAGCACATCAGGATATGCTGTTTCGGGCTGCACACTGTTTGTATTGATTCTTCCTATTGGAGGCGTGGTCATTGCCTTCTCCTCCTCTGGGGAGTTTATGCCAGTGCTCTTGAATAAGATTGGCAGACAATTTTTCTTTTTATACTTAATAAAAAGAAGTAGGCTCCCTACTCTTTCTCCTCGATAAATACGAAGGGCTGTAGAAGCTCAGGGCGGCTGCCCTTGCCCACTAGAAGCTGGGAGCCCTCTTCTTCTTCCCTGACCCCTTCTTTAAACAATTTCTTTTTTCCTTGGTTTTCATTTCTTCATTCGCCCTCCTTTGTTCAGTCCCGCAGTAACCGCGGCAAACCATGGGGACTGTCACAATGTGATGTCAAGGAGCTATTTTATTTGGTGAAAGGGAAAAGATAGCACAAGAACGAATGCAAGAGTGGACCAGTGGAGACACCGAGAGTGATTTGTCTAAGATCTAAATCATTCCGTTGTCTTCCCGGCCTCCTTACCATCCTCATCACTGTCATCGGCATTGTTGGGTCCTTTTAGCAGAGATTTCTCAAAATGGGCAACTCCGTAACACTTGGAAGCTTATGAATAATTCATATAATGTGTA